CTTAACTACACTTTCTGACAGTGTGTTATGCCTTTGTTCTAGAGTATATATATATATCAACTTAAACACATTTTTTGGTAGTGTGGAATGATCATGCTTTAGCAGTGTGGATACATGTTATATTGGGTGTGACAGCAATGTGTTATGTCCATGTTCTAGAAGTATATATATATCAACTTAAACACATTTCTTGACAGTGATGGGTATTAACCCATTGATTCCACCCAGCAGGTTAGCAACCGGTCGAGAGGTACCTAAGTCTGACGCCTCATGACTTGGTCAGCCCGGGTAGTTTGACCGGTCGGGATTGAGAAGATTCAGAGTTGAGAACATGACTTCGTCTGAGGAAGGCATGGATACTTACCGGTTGAAGGCTAATCGGCAGAAAGAACAATAGCGTCGGGACGTGCTTGACGTGCTTGTTTATTCTTATAAAGAGAAGTAAAAGCCTCATTAGAAATGCATGCTTTTAATTAATCCACACGGCTTGTAACTTTGTAAATAGTCTCATTATCATTAATAATAAACCGGATTACAGGTATTCCCACATACAGCCCTTCAGCTTATTCGCACTTAGTACTTGCATGGTTTTACACCATCAGACAGTGTGAAACATAAAGACAAATTTAGAGCCTGTTTGTCACTGTGTTGGATTAACGAAAGTGATTATTTTTGTATCACTTAATGAAAAATCCATAATCTAAAGTTAGTATCAAAAGTAGTATTATTTGCAGCTCAAAGTGATTTATTGCCTTAACATGCATTCTAATGTTTGGCATTATAATCACTTCTAGATTTCTAACAAATAAACACATTTATTCTAATGCCCCTCTTTTTTTACGGTTCCTAGGATAATATTTTTACTGATGAATGGACAAGTAGATCAAATCAAAGGAGAACAAGGGGATGAGAGTACCTGTACAGAAATTAGGTTTGCAACATAACTATTTATACAAATAATTGTCAAGCTATTTGGGAAAAAGAGGGAAACTTTCCGGCGGGATGTTTTGGGAGATGACAATTGGCGGGATGTTCAGCAAAATTAAGTAAAAAATGAATTTGATAAAGAGAAGTAAAAAGATAAATAGATACTTCGTATGAAGGATTCTTTGTAAATTGTATGAAATTTGGTAAAGAGATTTGGCAGCATATTCTGGAAAAGGGTGGAGGGAAAATCGAAGAGGACAAGGTTAGAGAAGGTTAGAGAAAGTAACGGAGACCTAGGGAAATTGCTGTGAAAATCCTAATTTCAGTAGGTATATAAATACTCACCGTAGAAGTTATACGCCAGAAGCAACCTTGTGAAGCTTCGGCCAAACTCAGTTTAAAGCCCATAATTGTGTGTGAAAAAATCATAAGTGGACAGCCCAAACAACATAGAATCACTTTAGATCACCACATAATTTGATAATCGGCCTAAAAAAGCAATGACAAACAGGCTCTTAGAATTGCATCCACACGAGTTTCAATATCCTATAGCAGTGCTATATTGCATATTTTAAGTATATATTATTGCTATGACGGTACTTCTCCCTTTAGAAAATAAAAATGTTTAAGTCCTATATTGGGAAATGATCAATGTTTTAGTCCTATTTAGTGTAAAAAATTTTAATTAAATTTATTTTTTATAGCAAACAAATAATTTTTAGTTTTTGAAAAAACACTTACATAAGGAATTGAAAAAACTTTATGAAAAAAGAAAAATAAAGAAAAGGGAAATAAAAAGTGAAGGCCCTAAGTTTAATTAACAGAAATCATTAAGGGCAAAATAAAAAATACATTTTAGGGTCATTAAAGGAATAATCGACAGAATGTCCACTCATAGTATTTACAACAAAATATAAGGGCCTTTAATGTCTTTTCAAAAATACAAGAACCTGCGAGTTATTTCAACAAAACTCATATGACCCAATAGTAATTTGCTACAAATCTAGCCTGAAATTATTTACTCTCTCCGTCTTAAAACTTTCTGCCCAATTCAATTTACGAGGTTTGACTAAAATTATTTTCATTTTATTTTATTTGAGTATAAGTGTAAGGTTAAAAAATAAATTATTATATATTTAAAAACTGCATCAAAAGTTATACAAAACAAGGAGTGAGAATACTATATTATTTTATCAAATAACTAAAAATAATAGGTAAAAAAGGTGATTAAAGTTTGACCATATGAATAGTGATTGGGAAGAAAATTTTAGGACGGGGAAAGTATTTTAATTTCGAGTATGAACTTTAAAAATTGCTCTAATGATTCTTGAACATTTAAAAAAGTTGTATCAATCGTTCCTTTGAGTTAGATTAGGAGATGTATTATTCACATGTTCATCAAAATACATGTTGGAGTTTGATGAATTGATTGATTGACTGATTCCTATGCTTCGAGTTCAATTACAGATGGCTAAAGCGAGTATAATTATATACGGTTTAAAGATGTTAAAATTGTAGAAGATAATGTTATGAAAGACTACATTACAAAGCTCGCGTGTGATATATGACTTAAGATAAATGTATACTTGCACTAGACGGGCATGTGATTAATATACTCTCAAATCTGGGACAAAAAGACCATTGATGTATTATTTTTAAATGTTTAGAGATCATTGTTGCAGTTTTTGAAACTCAAGGAGATTCTATACAATTTTTAAAAAATTCAAATGTAAATAACACAAAAGAATTGTTTCCTCAAAGTCATAGTGATACTAACTCATAAGGCTCTGCAGTGTGGGTATGTGACAGCAATCCTGATGGCTACCATCTCAACGCGTGATGGAAAGGGAACATCGCCTCCCTCCCCTTTGACCATGATGGAGGTGATGGCGATCACACATGTCACCTGGACACATCTCTCCCAACTAGCCATTGTAACGGCTAGCATTCTTTTTCTTTTTCTATTATTTAAACACATCTTCACATATCAACTTCACATTTTCAATCCATCTTTTCTAATAATTTTCATCTTCTTTCTGCTCATAATATGGGCGTCATCCGTTTCTGATGAAGCTGAAACTGCTTTTATGAATACAATGGTGCAAGCAATTACGTTCCGATTCTCACGCAACAAGAAAGCGACAAACCGCCTGAACCACGTGGAAAAAAAGAGAACTGAACATAGATTAAATCGATATTTCTAATTTTTTTCATATCTTACTACAAATTAAATTATATTATTTTTATTATAATATTAATTGAAATTTTATCAAACTAATGCATAGGTGTCCAGGACTGGTTAGTTGCAGATGATTTTGCTGAAAAGCCGCTCTACAACAATGAACAATTCGGGTAAAGATTTCGCATGAGTAGCCGTATTTTTCTCCTCATTGCTAGTGATTTGGCGTGTACTCCTTATTTTTTTATGTTCCAACATGATGTCCGTCAGAAAGAGGGGTTTTCAACGTTGCAAAAGTGTACTACATCGCTACAATAATTTACTACGACACAACTTCAGATTCACTGAATGAGCATCTACGCATGTCTGACCGAACGGTGTGCAAATGTCTGTATGAGTATTGCAAATGAATTATCATGTTATACAACAAAAAGTATTTGTGCAGGTCCATATAGAAAGACTTACACTCATTATACATCAACAACAAAGACCTACATGGATTTATTGGCTTGTTAAACTGAATTGATTATATGTACTAGTGTTGCATAATTGTCCTAACACATGGCGAGGATAGTATACACGCGGGGGTCACAGCCACCCCATAGTCATGCTTAAGGCCGTTGTCTCGAATGATCTTAGGATCTGGCATTCTTTTTTTAGAGTGGCCATTTCGAACAACGATTTAAATGTCCTGGCCTGGGACAATCGAATATATTCAACAGAATCGTACAGGGTATCGAGCTCGATACTTCTTCTACAGTTTCTAGGGTGAAATACAAGCACAAATATTATCTTGTCGACCCTATCTATCTAGAGTACGCGGCTATAGTCAAAAGTATGTCGTTCTGTGATGACCAGAAGAGAAAGAAATTTGTCAAATATAAAAAATCGACAAAAAAAGATATAAAATGTCTAGTGTGCTCAAGCAGAGATATCGTGTTGTGCAAAACTAGGCGTGAGCCTTCACACCCAATAATGAACTGTTATGTACGTTTGTTGCATTCTACATAACATGATTATTGAAGACTAAGGACATGTGAATATGTGATATGCGAATATGATCAGAACAATGTGAATGAAAATGTTGAACAAGTTGATGTAGCGCAACAAGATCTCAACATGTTTGTGTTACAAAACACGCATATAATACGCACTAGAACCTTCTTGTCGGTTTGGTTGAACATTTGTTGTACCTTTTTAGTAATTGTACCTTTTTTACTCTTCCTATTTTTCAAATGAAATATGTAAATGCAATTTTAATTTCAAAATTAGTGAAATATTTATTTAATGTATTCATTTTAAGCAATTGTTTTAAACAAATGGAAAAAAATATAAAAAAAAGGAAAATGGTGGCAGGTAGTGATTGGCTTGATCTACACATTATGACCTACTCCCTCCGTCCCTAAATAGATTACAATTTTTTTCTCTCTCTCATCTCGATAACTTTTGTTTGTTTACGCGATTTCATTAAGTATTTGATAAAATAAAATATTCTTGTCACCTCTTGTTTTGTAGAATTTTTGACGTAGTTTTTTAATATGTAAATTTTATATCTTATTATTATACCAATTTGTAGATAAAATGATTTCAAAAAGTAAGAAATTTTACTCCGTAACCCGCAATTTGTAATCAAATTGGGGACGGAGGGAGTATAACATACTACCTCTGTTCCAAAAAGAATTTCCTATTTTGATTAACGTGCAAAATCCTGTGGATTTTAAAATGATTTTATTTGCAAATTGGTAAGGAAATAACACATAAAAAAATTATATTTAAAAACTACATCGAAAATTCTACAAAATAAAAGGTTGCAAGAATATTTCATTTTATTAAATGATCAATGAAAATATGCAAACAAATAAGAGTTATCGAGTGGTCATAATAGTAAACAGGAAAGACTTTTTGAGATGGAGTGAGTAATACAAATAAATGGTTTACCCATGCTGGTAATTAGGAGATTTACTCAGTTGCACGGTTTTAACCTTCGGTCCTACTCAATTAAGTTCTGCACTTCTGCCACCTTCTTCCTTGCGGAGGAGTGTCCATAAACACAAAGTCAGAAGCTCTCCAGGCCCCATTTCTTTCCATAATCTTCCCCGTTTTTGAAATCTCCTGTCCTTCCTGCACTATACTGGCTCTTCCAACAATGGACGCTTTCAGCTTGCTCAAGTTCTGGCGCACCGGTGGTGGTTTCGGCGGAAGCAGAGCCCTTGCTGGCCGACCCGGCTGTGACTCCTCCTCCTCCTCCTCCGGGAGGACCACCATTCTCGCCGTTTCGTCGCCTCATTTTTCCGACTCCGGCTCGGACGTCCCCCCCGAATCCGACGAAGGTCGCTTCATTGACTTGGAATTCACGACCGCTCCCGAAGACAAAGGCCGTGGAGACGACGGTGAAAAGGCCGATCAGCGGCGTAAGAAAAGTCAACATGCAGTAGGTGATGACGACGACGATGACGGAAGCGGGTCCGACGAGTCGTACGGCGAGAACGAAGAAGAAGGTGCGCTGAATTTGACTTTCTCGGCCGCGGATTCCTCCTCCGGCTCGAGCGCTGCGGATCCGTATTCCTCGGACGATATCTTCTTCAACGCCGCCGCCGGCCTTTTCCCCGTGGAGCCGTCTTCATCGGATGCCCGGGGGGCGGCGAACGCGAAATTCCCGGCGTCTCTGGTGAAAAAGGCGGCAAAATTCAGGGTCCTGATGCTGAAATTGAACAAGCCGAGAGCGAATAATGCGGAAAAAAAGGAGTCGGGAGGGACAAATCCAGGCCAAAAGGATGCGGAGGAGGACGAAGAAGACGAGAGCCCTATTGGAACGGAGAAGAGGCCATTGACGGTGAGATTCACAGTTGTTGAAGAAATCGAGCAGAAATCTAACGCAGAAGAGAAGAAGTTTTCCAGGGAACCGATGGAGAAATACTTGAATTTCGTGAGGCCGTTGTACGTCCGCGTCTCAAGGCGTTACGGAGGCGAGAAATTAGGGTTTTCCGGAGGGGCGAGTTTGAACCGGGTGGAATCGAAGGCGGAGAAAGGGGAAACCGATCCGGCGGCGGACAAGTCGTCGGCATTTAGGGTGAGGCAGGGCCTGAGAGGTCTCCGGGAACATCTAATCAAAAGCCGGACGGCGGCGCCGTCACCGGGGGCCTGGTCATCCCGGCGGCGCGACGACTCGCTGTTGCAACAAGAAGATGGGATTCAAGGCGCCATTTTACACTGCAAGAGATCTTTCCATTCTACCGGAGGTATAGATTTAGACCATCATCACGTTTCTATAATTATGCTAAAGATTGAAGAGAGAAAAAAGAAACTCATTTTTTTTTGTTTGCAGAGGACTCAAATGTGTCGCAGGAAAACCCGGTGAACATGTCAGACGACCTCAGCTCGCTGGACGAACCGGGTTCCCAAACGGGTTAATTAATCATCCATTATTTCATCCTACTCCCTACTAGTCCTTAATCCTTATATGACCTTATTATTAAGGATTAAGGATGTTTAACATTAATAGTCACTAGTTAGGCTATGTGTAAGGCTTTACTACCCATCGGCCGCTCACTCTAAACCAACAGTTATTCAGGGTTGCATAATTGCTCTCTGGACTCACTATCTTACTCAAAGTATACTTGCAGTGATCCAAAACGATTGCACTTTATATTTTATTTCAAATTTACTTATATTTTAACATTATAACAGTTAGACTTAAAAAAACACAAACTACATTAATTTTGAAAAGTACGCGATTGCATTACTTTAAAAACTAAAGCGGTTGAGTGTGAAGCCAGGAAGCTAGGTGGAAGCTAACAGGAAATTGGCAGGAAGCTACCTAGAAGCTTACGGCTTAATCATTGTCTCCCTAACTAATCTCTATTTAAGAGATGCTAATGTGCTTGTAATGGTGGTGCAACAACAAATAATAAAATCCTCCTAGTTGCCCTGTGTGGACGTAGGTTGCAGTTGGCGGCCGAACCATGTTAAATCCTGTGTCGTTTATTTTTATGCAGTTGATTTGTGATTGTGTGTTGTTTCCGTGTGCGTTAATTCCCAACAATTGGTATCGGAGCCTCGTTGTACAACACGAAAGCACAAATTGTGAGTTGTCACCTAGGTTTTGGGATCTGTGAACAGTCGCCGCTGTGAGGGCCGCGCCGGAGTGAGTCGCGCAGCAGGGGAGAGAGCCGCAGCCTTGGGGTTGCCTCGTTGCCGTCGTTGCGCAGCCTTGGTCTCCCGCCGACCGTTGCAGTCGCTGGGTAGGGCTTCGCGAGCAGCAGGCCGCGCCGCCCAGATCTACGCCGCCTGTTCGAGAAGGGGGAGAGCTGTGCAGGTGTTCGCCATCGTCTGCGAGCCGCCGCAGCGTCCCTTCGTAGCGCCGTCGTCGTCGTCCAGTGAAGAACCAAACCCATCGTCAATCCGCCGTCCGTGAGCAGTCAGGCCGCGTTGAGGAGCTGCCGCCGCGTGGAGGAGCTGAACCGCCGCGCCGTTTCGCTCTCCAAATCGCCGCCACCGTCCTGGTCGCCGCCGCCGTCCTGGTTGCCGCCGTGCAGATCCAGAGCCTCGCCGCCTTCTAGTTCCGTTGCTGAAGTGTGTCGCCCTAGCGCAGTGGAGTTGGGCCGTTTGCAGGCTTGCAGCAGAATTGAAGAAAAAGGGGTTGATTGGCAGCAAAAGGTGATCCGACCGAAGGAAGAAAAAAAAGGTGGGGTTTGGCAGAAAGTTTGGTCGGCCCATTTGTCCTTTGAATTAATTTTGTTGGCTGGTCTTCTTTGGTTATTTTTGGTGGCTTGGGTTTGGCGTATTTTAATTTGGACTGATTTATTTGGAGAGTTGGGCCTGTTTTCCTGACGAAATTACCAAGATCTGAAATTAGTTGTACCGGATATCTCGTTTGGTCGTGTGATATGGCAGAAGATGGGAAGTTCCAAATTGAGAAGTTCGATGGTACAGATTTCAGTTGGTGGAGAATGCA